GGGAGTGAAAGAAAAATTTGTACACGTAAGAAATAACGTAAACCGTATATGGCTTCACATGTAAATGGGAATTTTTGGGGATTTCCAAAAGTCCGGGTCGAGCACGTGCGATCTTTCCGGCACGAATTCAACGTCCGTTCTGGAGGTTTCCGATCTTACAGGAGCTTTGCTACTGTACAATAAATCAGCAATGTGGAAAAGCGGATAGCCTGCGGCTAACGCGGTTTGTCAGATCGGAATTTATTCAGCGTACGTTCAGGGAATTCGCGTCGGTCCAGACGTTTAGATACTTTGACGTTTCTCTCTTTTTATCACCAACTATCATACCGAGCTATCTGCACTAATATTAACAATAAAGGGAATCTCTACTGGCCGGGAGGTTGAAAAAATGTAAAATTTACGTCACTGGTTTCTTACCCTTAAGGCTCATCCTCGACATTTCGTATATAACCTTTGACCCTGTTGAGCTTAACTTTTAAAGCATGTGTCACATGTTCGCATGCGCCTGTGATTTACATCCCTCTGGGATTGTGTATATTATACATGCAAAAAAGCCACCCTTCAAAAAAAGGCTGAATCGTAAAACAGAGATGACAATGCGCTGATGTCTGTCGTTGGCAATCTTATGATAACTGGATGATAACGACAGGATTATTCGCTTACGCAATATAGCTACCCTAGGGGAAGTATTAAGATAAATATTGGTGTATTAAAAAATGATGAGCTACGTTAGGATATTGCATATAGGTATACGATCGTGAAGCTTTACGAAATTTCATAATATTCTTGTTTTAACCCAATTAGATTCCGCGGACTAACCAACACTTCCGGTTATAAATTGATTTTAACGAAGACGATTGTTCTTACTTATTCAAGTGAAATTGCCTTTGGAAAATGAAGGATCGATCTTCCTTAATCCAGTTAACGAAGATCCTCTCGCGAATCTGGTCAGGCTGGTGTCTGACTTGAAACGATGTCATTCCGGTTTAACGGCGGATAAGTTAATTATCGGAAAACTGATTGAGCTACGAAGATCATAGTCAGTATGGTCCAGCTTCTATCTTATAGGAGAGATGTCAGTCGCTTGGTTCGTTTCCTAATACAATTTCCTCCCGTATCCTCCCGCGAGATAAACACGCTTCATAGGATTCTTCACAGGATGCTGTATGTACCAGTAGAGAGCGCGTTACTACTTTTCAGATAAGACAAGCAACGCCTGATGTTAACCCGAGAGAATTACTTCTAGGTAATCTACCGGCCGCGTTCAGGTACACTGTCCAGAGATGTTCTGAGAGCCGTTCGGGATGCTGGTAGCCTTGATCATCCGACCGCCCACTCTTGGTAACGCACAGATTTTTGATGTTACGCGAAAATTGGTTTATCTTCCCTACTGAGTAGTTGGAGCACTTTTTTTTCTTCTTTTTTTCAAAAAGACACGCGGTACCTTCCATACGTGATGACGGTATCTCAAGGGGGGAGGTGGAAGTTGTGTTATAGGGATCCATAATGCGTATCGTGCGTAAGAAAATTGTAAGATGAAAAATAGATGAGTGTACGATTTAGATTTATCTCCTGCATATCGATCCTCTGTGTAGTTTGTTTGGCGCAAACAGCGCCGCGCGTTTTCTCTACTGAGAGACACTGCCGCTTATGCTAGTTCCATGTTCGAGAGTACTCGGGAGGACTTCCGGGATCTCTCACCTTTTATTTATCGTCTTACGCAGTTTAACTTTCCACGGCTCTTACCGTGCTTTTCTGTATTACCAATGAGCACGCAAGACACCTTGGTCGTTGCAACGTTTTTTGTTTTACCACAACACATGCCAACCAATAGATTTCCTAATGGATTCTGTTGTTGGCGTGACTTCTGGCTTTGACTCTGAAAGTTTTCTTTTATTCACTTCAGACCACCGATTTATGTAGCGTACGCGTCACGG